AAAAATTTTTTATCTGACTCCTTACCAAATCCTAGCAAGACTAAACATTCACAGTGATACTGTACTTTGATTGGGAAGAAACTTCTTAGAACAAGAGCTGGCCTGCACGCTGTCCCTGAAAGTCAGAGCACAGTGATGTGGTCTTGGTGAGGAGACATGAGGAAAGTGTGCAGGCCCAGCTGGCCACCGACACCCATGGTTTTCCTACAGATGCCAGCATTGGGAGCCGCCTCCTGGCAGGCAGCACCACAGGAGCCCTGGCTGTCGCTGTGGCCCAGCCCACGGATGTGGTAAAGGTCCGGTTCCAGGCTCAGGCCCGAGCTGGAGGTGGTCGAAGATACCAGAGCACCGTGGATGCCTACAAGACCATCGCCCGAGAGGAAGGGTTCCGGGGACTCTGGAAAGGTGCGGACTAGATGTTCCCCTTCCCCCATCTCCCTTCTCCCCGTGCCCTGGCCTCACACCGCCTCTCCCTCCTGTAGGGACCTCTCCCAATGTTGTTCGAAATGCCATCGTCAACTGCGCTGAGCTGGTGACCTACGACCTCATCAAGGACGCTCTCCTGAAGGCCAACCTCATGACAGGTGGGTTAGAGTAGGTGGTGCAAAAATAGATAATAGGATCTGGCTGCCTGCAGACCCCACTTTTTCACCCTGTTTGCCCTTTGCCTGTAGAGCGAGTGCATTTCTTCTTTGCCATGTTGAAGCCAACTGGGACTGAGCTCCCACTCTGCACATTGAGAAGTTGAGGCCGGATGGGCAGAAAGCTCTTTTAGGTCCTCATAAGAGATCTCTTTAAATTCTCTTCCCTTCGGAATGGTGCCTGAGCAGTGCTGACTGCCTTGCCTTCTTCTTCTTGTCAGATGACCTGCCTTGTCACTTCACCTCCGCCTTCGGGGCGGGCTTCTGTACCACCGTCATCGCCTCCCCTGTCGACGTGGTCAAGACGAGATACATGAACTCTGCCTTGGGCCAGTACAGCAGCGCTGGCCACTGTGCCCTTACCATGCTCCGGAAGGAGGGGCCCCGAGCCTTCTACAAAGGGTGAGCCTCTGACCCCCTCGCCCAGCTCCAGGCCTCTTGGCCAGCCACACCTACCACACAGGAGCGAACTGCTTGGCAGTGAGAAGCAACCAACTGTCAGACCTCCCGAGTTGCCCTCGTCTACACTGTAAGATGTTAATATGGGGATTTAAGGCTTAAGGCTGGGGATGGAGCTCAGTGGTAGAGCGCTTGCCCAGCATGCATGAGGCGCTGAGCTCATCCCCAGCATTGCAAGAGGAGAGAGGTGTGGAACTCGGAGGGACTCATTCATGCTCATGCGTACACAGCTGTGAGGCGCAGTTCTCCGAGTCCTCCTGTCCCCCTTTGGGACAGAGCATCCGGGTTGGGTTGGATCGGATGCTAGGGCCCAGTAGGCGAAGCCGGAGATGGAGTTAACTGTGTGACCTGTGTTTTCTCTTCCCTAGGTTCATGCCCTCCTTTCTCCGCTTGGGGTCCTGGAACGTGGTGATGTTTGTCACCTACGAGCAGCTGAAAAGGGCCCTTACGGCTGCCTGCACATCCCGGGAGGCTCGCGTCTGAGCCTCTCCTGCTGCTGACCTGACCGCCTCTGGCTCTAGCTTCCCCTCCAGCCAAGCTGTGCTTCCGTTTTCCCCCATCCCCCTTGCCCCTTCCCCCTTCCCCCTTCCCTCTTCCCCCTTCCCCCTTCCCCCTTCCTTCTTCCCACCACCTCTTCTCCCCATGTTCCCCTCCTCCCGCTTCTCCTCACTGGCTCAGTGCTGGTGGAGCTGACCCTGTCTGACAGTGAAGAGGCCTGGCCCCAGCCAGGACCTCAAACCCTTTGAAAAGTTCAGACCAAATCATCCTGACTCCCGGCCTGGCCCAGCCCAGCCAGTCTGTCATCCATAAAGCAAGCTCAACCATGGTGTCTCCTCCTCGCTCATAGCTGATACCACAGGTTCTGGTCCCTTTGGGCACCTGGTGAGCAGGGGAGGAGCCACGTGACATCAGAAAGGGGTGTGACCCACCTTCCACCTCCAGCGTCCAGCGCGGGGCCCATGAGGGCCTGTAGTGCATTCTTCCTTCTAGGTCCTGGGCTGAGATGGCAAGGAAAGGGACACCCCTGGAGGACAGCAGGGACTCCTTTCTCTGCCTGGTCACTTGGGCTTTCACTGTGCCGGGAGGCCTAGTACCCACCTCCCAGCCCCCTAGCTGGCCCCGGGCCTGCTGATCTGCAGAAGAGAGCAGCTCCTGCAGAGACAGAACTTGAGAACCTTAGATGCTGTTGATTCCAATTTACTGTTGGCAAACCCACCTCCCAAAGTCCTGGACTGCTGTGGAAATCATCGCCCCCACACACCCGGTCATACTGCTCGGAGGAAGTGTTCTGAACAGGTGGGCTGGGAAGGCCCTGACTCAGCACTGGCTGGGTTCATACTGCAGGCAAACATCAGGCTAGAGTTTCTGTTTGAGGTACTTTGGCTTTGGCGTTCCACCCTCCCCAGGGCAGGGAATCCCAAGAAAGCAGTGAGTGACAAGCCAGGACTTTGACTGCATAGGGGTTTCAGGCTTTGTCCTCAGAGGCAGGGACTGTGGTGGGCAGTTGTTTCAAGGGGTGAGAGTCTTAACTTCCCAGAACAGGTCTGGGCCCTTAGAATTAAGTTCACTGAGACTCAATTTACAGAGGTCCAAGGACCAAAGCAAGTCATGCAGTAAAGACACACACAAAGTATTTGAATGGGGACGCCCTCCCCTTGTCACACTTGCCCCCCAGGGACCACAGTTGAAGGTCCTCAGGGAGACTGGTTTGGCAGCTGTGCAGCCAGGCCTGGGAAACCAGGCCTTCTTTCCTCTTCACCAAGGCTAAAGCAGCAGACACAACCCCCTCCCTCTCCTAAGCCCTTTGGCCAGATCCTGCAGCTGGACCCCTCTGTCCTTGGGCAAGAGGACCAGGATATTCGGCTCCTAGGGAAGACATGGGGACTGCCCAGCTTCTGACAAATTGAGCTGAGGCCTCAGTCCCTGGGAAGGGACAAGATTGAGTGCTGTAAGGCAGCAAGCAGGTGATGGAAAGCCCAGCCTTGTTCTCTGCTGGGCTGCAGGGAATATGCACAAGCGAAGAGTCTGGCCACTGCCTTATGTAACTATTCACATTATGCTGTGACACCAGCTTAACTCTTTTGCACTGGAGGAAACATGTCTGTCACCAGAGCTGAGCTGAATGGATGGGTGGGTGGTTCCTTTAGCAGCCTTGAACCCAGACGCTAGATGGACACAAGACCCCCAGACTTTATCATGGTTCTGAGCCTGACTTGGACTAATCAACCACACCAGGGGGACTGGAGTCACCAACAGGCCTTGGTATTGCTGTGCTCTGCTTTGCCTGACATGGGTCAGTGAGGTAATGTTAATCTCATAAAGGCCTGTCATTGGGCCTGAAACCATGCTTCCTTCAGAGCCCACCGGGATGGTCAAGAGCATCTGGCTGCCTGAGAGGAGGCCTGGCTTCCCAGTGTTCCCCAAGCCAGGGCCTGCCATCCCTCACCACACCAGGCTTGCTCAGAACTGGGCAGCACCATCATCCCCCACATCCAGCTCTCACCTCAGATGGCAGTTTAGTTTCCTCCTCTGGTTTCCACAGAAGGCCTGCAAGTTTGGGGCTGTGAAACAGAGTGAAGTGCATACTGGAGATCCCAATCGATTTGTGTGACTTCCCCAGACTCCTGACTACTATGCTGAAGTGCTTCCTAGAACCCTAGCCCCAGAGTCTTCAGATCTGCTGCCGCATTCATGCTGGTTTTAAAAAGCCTATCAAAGCCTGGCCTGGTGGTGTGTACCAGTAGCCCCACATACTTGGGAGGCCAAGGCAAAAGCATCATTTGACTTCAAGAGGTCTGGGCCAGACTCTGTCTCTTAAAAAAAAAAAAAAAAAGGCTGGGTATGGTGGTGCACACCTGTAATTCCAGTACTCTGGAAGCGAGGGCGGGAGGATCTCCAGTTCAAATCCAGATTGGTAACTTGGAGACTTAAAGAGACTCTATCTTAAAAACTTCAGAGAGTGATCTGGGGATGTAGCTCAGTGCAAACGCCCTGGGTTCCATCCCGAGTGCTGAAAAAAACAGTGGCTTCTAGGTGCTGCTGAGCTCCCATTTAAGAAAAAACAGGCTAATACTGTATTTTGAATGGTGGGATTCCAGGCAGTGTTGGTAACATGGGGCCTTTTCTGGCACCTGTGGAGCCACTCCAGAGAACTGGCCACCTACCCCTCTGATCTGTCCTGTCTTACGCTCTGGTTCCTGAGAACAGAATCTGTTTCCTGGCACAGAGGATGTGCTGCTGCTGGTTTTGGGTAGGCAGGTGTGGGCCGATCCAGCCCAGCGGGACCCAGGACTGGAGTTCCTCAAGGCCACGCCAGCAGCAGTGCAGGAGCCCTCTGTGACATCCAAGCATGAGTTCACCAAGCACTTTCACATCAGCAACCTTAACTTCATCTTCCACCCGCAGTGGAGTATGAGCTCTGCTCTACCAAGACGGGCAGGGCTGGCGTCAGAACCCAGGAGTCCTTCCGCCTAGACCACTCTGCCTAGAGAGCTCAGAACTCATTTCACAGACAAGAGAATTGAGGCTGGAGAGGTAGAAACCAAAGGCATACCCAGCTCTGTGTTCTTTGTCTCTAAGCTGGTGAGTCTGTGGGAAGCAGCCTAAGGCTCTGATGACAGCTTTGTCCTGAGTGAGCGGGAACAAGTTTTCTATCTGTGCTTCAGTTTCCTGTCTCTATAATGTGACATCACATTCCAGCAACTGACCCTTCTAAATATTATGCCATGAAAAGTCAGGGCAGACGTGGGGACCTCAGAAGCCATGCAGTCCTGCCCCATGCTAATGGGAGCACAGAGGCTCTGACCAAGCCGGGATGGGGACCCAGGCGCCCAGCTTCCTGGTCCTGCAGGAAAGACTACCAGGCAGCTCCTCCCCAACATTGTCCAGGGTGGAACTGGAGGATAGGAAATAAATCTTTATTATGTCAATGTAAGGTCCTGTTCCACCCCCCTCATATCAGATCTGTGCAGGGCTGGCTCCCTGGCACACTCAGGCTGTGGAACGGAGCAGATGGCACCCAGTGAGGCTTCTACCCCCACCCCCGCTGGCCGCAGCCCAGTCAGCCGGCTCAGGTCAGCAGTGCCTGGCGCAGCATCTGCTTCTTCTGGGGTGTGAGGCGGGTGGGAAACTGGATGTCGAAGAAGATGAAAAGGTCTCCCTTTTTGGTGGGGTCCTCAGGCAGTGGCATCCCCTCACCTGGCACCTTCTTGAAGTACTTGGGACTAGGAGGAGAGAGGCAACAGAGGGCACTTAGGGAAGCAGCACCTAACAGGCCAGGGCCACCTGCTAACTGCAGGGACGGGCTGGCTGTCACCACAGCTGCCCCCAGCGAACGGCTCTCAGCAGCTGAACTGGGGGGAGGAGAGGAGCCTGGACTCTCCCTGGAAAGCCTTCTACAGAGAGTCTGCTGGGGGATCCCAGGAATCTAGTGTTTGGTGTGGGAAAGTGGGCAGGCCTGGCTTGGGGGTGGCAGTGCCCGGCAGCTGCACACAGCTTCCCACCCAGGGGGCCTTTCCCCAGAGGAAGGCAGAGGCACAACTCAGAACTCTGGTGGGAAGTTTTGGGAGATGGAGATAACAGAGCCCGCCCAACACTTGGGGCCTCTGGCCTCTACCGTGGATTCATGCAAATTAGAAACAGGTGCTCTTTTTGCCAGGTGAATGCAGCGCAAAGCTTGGTCAGAGTGGGGTGGATGTCATCCTTCTCTGCCCTTCTCAGCAGCGGATGCTTGTGCTGGGTGCAACCTGTACAACTGTACTAGGCAGTCCTTTCTGGCTCCACTTCCTAAGTCCCAGGCCAGGCCTTTCTTTGGCTACTGGGTCCCAAGGCAGGTGGACTCACTGGACAATGTCATTGATGGGAATGTTGAGCAGACGGTCATCTAGGGTCTTCACCTCCACGGTGCAGCAGGTGAGGGCCTGGGGGGTGGGGCAGAAGCAGAGGAGGAAGGTGGAGGGCCACCGTGGCCACCCTATTTAGAAGGCACTATGCGATCCCATTTGGTACCAGGCCCTGAAGAGGGCAACAGAGAGACAGAAGGCTATTCAAAAACTAAGAGGTGAAGCCGGATATGGTGGCACACACCTGTAATCCCAGCACCTGGGAGGCTGAGGCAGGATCGCCATGAATTTGAGGCCAGCCTGGGCTACATGAGCAAATTCTAGGCCAGACTGAACTACATAAATAAATAAAATAATACAAAAAAGCCAATAGGTGAATGACGTAGGCCAGTGATGGTGAACCTTTTAGGGCTTTCAACGATATAAACAGCTCGCTGTGGCCCGCGTGCCATAGGTTCGCCACCACTGACCTAGGCCATTAACCCTCCTCAAGGAGTTCACAGTCTGGGAGGTCAGACTGATGTTGATAGCATACAAAGGTCATGATAGAGATGGAAACGACAGGTGTGTGGAAGCCAAGAAGGGGACCCTTGCCATTCTAAAGAGGGAAGGAAGGTCGCACCGGTGGCGGCTGATGAGGGCTTTCCAGGGTAAGATGGGCAGGCAGCCTGCAGCAGAGGCCCAGCAGAAACAAGAGAATAGAGTTATGAAAAAGCCCCGCCCAGCAGAGGCGCCCAGTGTCCTCGGGTGGGTGCACAGCGAGGCCATTCCTGAACACCACTCTGAGACATTCACACAGTGAGGAGGCTGGCAGGGTCACAGGCCTGAGAACACGAGCCCCAGGAGAGGAGGAGGGGAGCAAAGGGGCCCCACGAAGACCCATCCAGTGCACAGAACTGGCCATCCGGGACCCAAGGAGGGGCAGAGTGAGCCACGGGTGGCAGGGCCGGGGATCTAGGCTGTGGCGGGGAGGCTGGGTCTAGGCCAGTGCAGGTGGGTCAGAGTCCCACGCTACTCCCCCACTGTGCCTTACCTTGCCCAAGGGGATGGGGTTCACAAAAAAGAGGTTGTCGTTCTCCCTGCGGAAGCGAGGGTGCAGCTTCTCCTTTACAATGAAGATGATGTCAGCTGGGATGATGTTTGGGCCCTGGGAGGGGAGGCCAAAGGTGACAAGGACTAATTGCCTTGTCTGCTTCTCCTTGTCTGTATGTCCTCATCTGTTCCACGGGGAGATTGGACCAGGTTTTCTGGAGAGCTTGCCCAGAGGAAGCCCCAAGAATTACTTCCCTCCTGAGCCTGCTCATCGATGTACCCAGTGGGAGGGGAGAGGGACCTCTGAGGGTGGCAGTGGAACTCTGAATGGGGTGTCAGACCACTGCCTGCAAGTCCCAGTCCTGTCAGTAGCTCAGGAGTGACACCTCTCCGCCAAGCTTCATTAAGTCACCACAGCCACTGAAGTTTCCTCTGGGCACTAGGCACAGTGGACTCTGACCAGCCTCTTCCCCAGAGGAGCACCCACTCAGCGGGGCAGACTACAGTGAGTTCCCAGCAAGCTCAGAGCCAGTATAAAGGGAGGTTGGCAGTGGGTGGTGTCAGAGAAGGTGCTGACCCATGTGGGGCCACCTAAAGTGGCTCAGAAAAGAGATCATTAGAGGTAGGCCTGGAAGGGTGTTTGTTCAAGTGTTGGTTTTTGTTTTTTTTTTTTAGGAGACAGGGTCTCGCTATGTAACCCTGACTGGCCTTGAACTCACAGAGATCCTCCTGCCTCAGCCTCCTGGCTACTAGGATTACATATTACCACGCCTGGCATTGAGGTTGTTTTTTCTCTTGTTGTTTGAGGTAAGAAGGTCTTGTTGTGCTGCTGGGCCAGGTGTGGTGGTCTCAAGGGTGTTTTAGGAGTAGGTGTGTCATACATGGGAAAGGGGACAAGAGGTGTGGGCAGGGAGATTAATCTCTTTACTCTGAACACTCCATCTCTGTGCCTCTTCTCTGGACTTAAGGACTCAGTGTGCCTAAGGTAATAATCTTATATAAGTAAGTATTTAATTTAAAATTATTAGTAGTAAATGGTTCTGAGTAGCTCCCATAGTTGGGCTTTATTCAGAGAAGCACTGAAGAAAATCAGGAAGAGCCCTGACGGTAAGACTGGCCTCTCTCCGCTCGCAGCTCCTGTGCGTTGCCCTGGCAAGTCCTTTCCCTCTCTGGGCCTCAGTTTCCCACTGAGGGGATGGGGGTAATCCCTGAGCTGCCCACTCCCAGAGGTGCTGTGAGGCTCTGTCCCTCCGATGGGAGGTGAGGGGTGACCTCGTGACTCTGTGCACTGCTCTCTCCACCAGACCAGGATTTCTGGGAGAGGGCACTGTCTCCTCCTCAGTCTCCCCAGCTCTTGAGCCTGGTGACTGGCCCTGGTCAGCTCCCTTCCCTTTCACCTGATCTCCCTCCTTCTCGAAGGTGATGCGGGTGCCCTGCCTCCATCCAGGCCGCACATCGATCGTCAGGATCTTGTCCTTGATGGTAGAGGAGTAGCCATCATCATTTAGCACCTGCAGGGACAGGGCGAGGGGTGGTCTGCTCGGATTTTCAGGAGTCCCCTTCACAAACATGAACGATGCTTTGTGAGTTATCCCGGCTCAACCCTCCCGCAGCAGAAGACCTGTGCTGAGCCACTCATACTCCCATTCTGTTGCCGCCGGAACCAAGGGCTCGTGCTTCTAGCATGCAGGGCACATCCTAGGGCTCGAGCTGGGGCCTGAGACACCAAGTGGTCACCACAAGGTGGTCCAACCCCCACCTCCAGCCCTGGCCACTAACAGATGCACAATGAAAGTGTAATCAGCTCCTCTGTTCAAATCCCGGCGGCCCTGGCCCTGAGCTTCTGGCGGTTCTCTTTTCTCAAAAAGAAAAAACATGGATGTCAACATACATGAGCACCACCCAGTGCAGTCATTCCCCAGTCACGCGCCCACCTGGGTGCCGCCTGTAGCAAGTGCGGCCATAGTTGGCATCTCTTCTGCGGGGCAAAGGGTGAGGGGCTGGCAGAGGGCTGGGCCGTGGGACCACAGCCTGAGCTACAGGACACACAGGGTCCTCCTCAGCCTGGCAACTTAGGGACTGCCTTCCATGCGCACGCTGCCCTCTCTCACCCTGAGAATCCGGAGGGGCAGCCTGGAAATCCCCAGAGAGCAGGGTTCACAGGAGGCTCCTGCCACTGGGAGTCCTCCTGCTTCCCACAGCGGGTGCCGAACTGAGGGAGGGGTCCTGCGCCGGTCAGGGCGCGGCCAAGCGATTCTGCACACGGGGGTGAAGGGGAGGGTCACCCCCTCAGCTGTTCCCTCCAAACTTCAGGTTCTAGAACCCTAAGAATCTAGGTCTCTCTGCCTAGGGTTCCACGACCGTATCAAAGACCATTCCTGAGTTCTCCAGTTAGAGAAGGGAAGAGGTTCTCAGGGGTAGGGGTTAGGTGGTGGCTCGCGGGAGGAGCAAACACCAAGCACTCACCCTTCGAGAGATCTTAATTTTTTTGGTGCAGCCAAAGAATAAATCCTCTAGGGATAAGTAGAGGTCCCGTTCAATTGGGGGGTCCTGCTTCTTCACCCCTCGGCCCCGGAGTCCCCCAAAATTCAAATCCACATCACTTCCTCCTGCATCAAAAAATTCTACCAGAGGGAAAGGAAATGAGTAAGAGAAATTCTGTCCAAAGACTCAAATCCACACACATAACACGTTCTCTCTCATGCACATCCAAGTCCCCACCCCTGTATTTCCTCCAGTTCTTCAGTGTCCCAAGTATAATACCGCGTGCCCGTTTCCACCTTTCAGACTCAGGCTGCTTGGCCAAGCCAAGAAAGTGTCCTTAACCTCAGACCAGCGAATAGCAACCAGTTCATGCTGCTTTATCCCCACTCCTGGCCCCCTAACTCATCCCCACTGCCTGTTGAGGTACCAACTCAGGCCGGCTCACGAAGAGAGGCACGCCCTCTACTGGCAGGGTCTTGTAGTGCTAGAAAAGACTCCAAGTTGACTGGGAACAGTGAGGGATCAGACCAGCCAGTCCAGTCTTCCCCACCCAGTTCAGGATTCCACCCACCCTCCCTGTCCATTCCTCCCCAAAACCATTGAGATCCAAGTGTCTACGATGTTGTCAGCTGGTAAGAAAGAGGGGAAGGTCTGGTCCCTGGCAAATCTGACCCAAACTTGTCTTTTCTCAACTTCAGCTGCATCTGCCCAGGCTACACCTATAATCCCTCCTGCTGCCCCTGCCTTCTATCCCAGTGCAAAGAGAGAGCCCGATTTTGTCCCTGGGCTGAGGGATTGTACAGTCCTTTAGCTCTGGGTTTCTCTGTGTGTGGGATGGTGCATTAACACCTAACCTGTCATCCACCATTAAGACAACAAAGAACTTAAACTTGCTGAGAACTTACCACACAGCAGGTGCTATGTCCAATACTTTTGTTATTTTATTGATTTATTTACGTTTGCAGTGCTAGGACTCAAACCCTGAGCCTCGTGCATGTTAGTCAAGTGCTGTACCTCTAAGCTACTAAGCTGTGCCCCCACCCTTCACTTTTATTTCACTGGCACAGGAGGCTCACCACTCAACAGCTGGAAAGTAGTGGAGCTGAGACCTGTACGGCAGAATGATCTGGCTACAGAGCCAATAGCATAACCATTATGTTGTACTGATGGATGCGGAAGCCCTCCGCAAACTGTAGAGCCAGAGGTTGCTATTATACACTGTACTCTTTCTCTCCTGGTTAGTGCCGTGGAATGAACTTCACACGCTGGAATGGTGAAATGATCTTAGGAGGTGAGTGTGAGGTGGCTTCACCACTCTGCCAGTGTCCTCGTAAAATGTCATAGTTAATCAAGAGCCCTCTGAACTACCTGGTCCCCTTGTGTTAGTGGACTCATTTTTCACCCAGCACCTGTGGTGAGCATCTCATAGCTGGGGCACAGGAAAACCAGTCCGTCAAAACCCACAGGGACAAAGGGAATAAGAACCCCTAGAAGGGAGCCTGTAACAATACAGCTCCTAGGCTCCATTTAAGGAACTCCCAAACCCGGAGGCTGACCCTCCCTGACAGGCAGGGCCCCTGCAGGCTTTCTTGGGTCCTTGAACCACATCAATAAGGGAATAATTTAAAATGATGAATTTTAAACACTTCCTGGCCTCCTTGGCATCCATCACTTCCTCCTGCTGAAAATCTTCTCTGCTGAGGAGTCTGTAGAACTGAAAGGAACATTCCCAGACCCCTCTGCAGCTAGGGTTTGCATTCTAGTAGTGAAGTGAACAGTAAGCCACTTGGAAGTCAGAAAGAGTGAAGGCAGGTGTTATGGTTTGTGTTAGATGTCCCCCCAAAGCCTTGTGGGTTTTTGTTTTTTTTGTTTTTTGTTTTTGTCTTTTTGAGACAGGTCTTGCTATCTATGCTGTTCAAGCTGGCCTTGAGCTCACTTATGTAGCCTACGCTGGTCTCGAACTAGCAATGATCCTCCTGCCTCAGCCTCCTGAGTGCTGGGATTACAGGCATGTGCCACCACATCCAGCACCTTGTGAAATTTTAGATGGGGCTTTTTAGCAGGTGGCTGAGTCTACAGTGTGACTGATTCATGATGCAATGCTAGGGATTAAAGGTGCTGGGATTAAGGGTGGGTGATTGCTGGGTCAGTCCACTGACTGGATTGACACCGCCCTAATCCCAGTAGACTGGATACAATATAAGGGACAGAATGAGGTTTGTCTTTGCTGTTTTCTGCCACCATGAACTGCTGCTCCTCTGCCACTGGCCCTCCTGCTTTGGAGCCAGATGATTATGGACTGAAACCTCTACAAACTGTGCACTAAATAACCCTTTCCTCCTTTAACTTTGGAGGCTGGGTATTTTGTCTCAGCAATGAGAAAAGTAACTAAGCAGGCATCGCCCTCTGTGTCTTTGCTGAAGCACTGGTGAGCACTAGCACCGCCAGGAAGAGACCAGGCTTTTCTGCAGCAACAGTTCACACACACACACACACACACACACACACACACACACTCTAGTTTCACACCAGTCAGTCGCAAGGAAGGCAGCAGTGGCGGCAAATTCCTTAAACCAGGGCTATAGCTACAGTGATGTGTTCTGGAACACAGTAAAGCGTTTCCTGATTCCCTCGTTGAGACTGTGGCCGAGACAGTCCCCTCCTGTGGGCTTAGGGGCACTGCTCTCAGGGAATTCCTCTCCCTCAGACCTCCCGATGGTTTTTCAAGCACCTATTTCCCTGCACAGGGCCTCCTTTGCTCCCCCAGGTGTGTTTCCACAACTGATTTCTGACTAATACGTATCTTACACAGTGAATCCTCATACAGCTATTAAAATGATTAAAGTAAATCTATAGATAACATAATACATCATAGTATAAAATAAGTATATAAAATAAGTATAAAAAGCCAGTATGTATGGTGCAGTCCCCTTTTCTTGAAAAAAAAAAAAAGGGGGGGGGCTTATGTAAAAACTAATATATGGTCATCAGACATAAACATTTCTGGAAGGATATGTAGACTGTTAACAGTGAGGAGACACTTCTGAGGAAGGAAATAGAGGGCTGAGAATTATTTCTTCAACTATGCTTTTCAACTATGTATTGCATATACTTCTCAAAGCTAAAAAAACAAACAAACAAAAAACTACTCAGAGAAAAGCACCTTTCCCAGCGGCGTCCTTTCCTCAGTGTAAGACACACACTGGGTAGAGTTACTTACCACTGAAAGGGTTGTCTCCCCCGAAGAACTCATGGAAAACCCTGTCAGGGTTGCCATGGAAGACGTAGCCAGTTGTCCATGGAGTCTGGGCTCCGAACTCCAGAGGAATTCCGCCCTTTAGGCCCTCTTCTCCAAACTTGTCATAGATGCCTCTCTTCACAGCTGTGGATAGGTGTGAACTTGAGGAGGGGTCCAGCCTTGGGAGCCAAGAGAGATGGACAGACTGGGGGACAGGGCACCTGGGGAAGGGGACAGGGCAAAAGCAGCCTTATTTCTAAAGTGCCTGCTGCTTGGCAATCTCTGAAATGAGCTCCTAGAAGTTAAGAGGTTTGGTTTCATTCTGGGTGGACCTAGGGATCACCATGGGAGCCCAGAAGCGAGAGGAGAAATAGTAATTTGCTGGGGTGGGGGTGGGAATTACAGGAGGAACCGAGAGACTGAGGGTCAAACTGCAGACTGGGAGTTGGCTTAACTCAGTCATCACAGCTATTGTCTTACTGAAATTTTAGAATCTAAGACTTCTAAACTCAGGAGGTTTAAAATCCTGGAGGCTGAGGACTCTGAAGACCTGAAAATCCAGGGCTAGAGAAACTGTGCTGATCTCCATACCATTCTGCACAGTGTCCAGGATCACAGGCTCCGGGACGAGCCCTCAGGGAAGCCATGAGGGCGCTGCCTCGGTTGGGCGGTGACTCACACTTGCTCCCCACTCTGGCTTCCACAGGGCAGACATTTTTCAATGGTTCCTGGCCGCTCTCTGCTCTTTTATGCCCGTGCTTTCCTTGGGGACATGGAGACTCAGCAGCTCAGTCTGGGAAGGATAAATGGGCCTGCCTGCTCTGTCTCAGTCGTCCGCCCTTGGTAGCCAGTGTCTCCCTCTGCTCCTCGGGAAATGTGCCCTGCGCCCATATTGCCCCCCGCCCCCGGTGAGCCATCAGCCTAATCCTGGGCTCTGCACACTGCAGCTGCTGAGAAAGACGTCTGTAGGTGGACCTGATGGCAAATGCCTGTGATCACAGCTACTGGAAGTCCGAGACAGAAGTATCACAAGTTCAAGGCCAGTATGGGTAATTTAATGAGACCCTGTCTCAAAGCAAACTGAAAAAAAAAAAAAAAAAGACTGGGGATGTAGCTCAGTGGTAGAGCAGTTGCCTACCATGTATGAGCTCTAGATTTAATCTCCAGGACCAAGAAGAGAGGGAAGGAGGGAGGGAGGAAGGGAGAGAGGGAGTGAAGGAAGAAAAAGTAATTCTTTAGTCTTTAGTCCGGTAACTACAGAAGGGAAGGTTAATGGGAGTCATAGCAGCAGATCTGCTGCCAGAGGTTCTCTCTCTCTTTCTTTTTTTTTTTGGTACTAGGGATTGCACTCAGGGCCTTGTGCATGCCAGGCAAGTACTCTACCACTGAGCTACATCCCCAGCCCCTCTCTCTAGACTCTGATCATGGAAGACGATGGTTACGTTCTACTGGACCCCTCAGAAAATCCACCATTCTAGAGGCTTGAGGGACGATCTTAATGGAGGAGTCGGCGACAGAGCCCATGTGCCCAGTCCCACAGTCACTCACGATCACTCAGCACATCGTAGGCCTCTGCTATTTGCCTGAATGTCTCTGCTGCAAATGGCTCATCTGACTTCAGTGGGTGGTTCTTCAGGGCAAGTTTCCGGTACCTACAGGAGGGAGGGTTAATGGGAGTCATAGCAGCAGACCTGCTGCCGGCCGGGGGAGCAGACCATGGTTCAGAGCTGATGCTGTCATCTGCCTTCCCATCAATCAGGGGTGACTATACAGGCTGTGGGGACCGCCCCGGTACTTTGCGCAGATCTCCCTAAAGAGAACCTGGTGTGTGGAGCACAGGCAGCTGACAGTCCCCAGCAGCTGCCCTCAGGAATTTGTTCTGGGAACTCTGAAGTCTTGAAACAAGATTAGAGAAGCCTTGGTGATCTCCTCGCTATTTTCCCGAGCTGCCCTCGCCAACCCCTAAGTGTGGCAGAGGATCTGTGACAGCCCATTCCTGTGAGATGTGGCAGCCTTGGTCTGAGGACTCCCCACAGCCTGGCTGAGATCGTCTGGGGCCACACTGCAGCTATTCCCATTCAGGCCTTCCCGCCTCCATCCTCTTCCACAGGTATCAGGCCTGCCCCGTGGTCTGAAGCTCCCCCTGCATACTTTCACCCCACTTTGTCTCTCACAGGGGGCTCCCCGCATATTTTGTGCACATCTAGTCCTGTCTTGGTGTCTGCTTCTTAGAGGACCAGAACTGACACGCGCTTCTCAGGAAGAGATAAAACCAGGTGTACAGAGAGGCCCTGGAAGAGGTCTGTCATGTCCTGGCACTGTCACCCCGCTCTGTGTTTCTTCTCACTTCTGCACCTGCCAATCCCCCAGCCCCACCCAGGCCTGGGTGCCTGCAGCACCTGAGGAGAGGTCAGTACCCTAGGAGAAGTGCTGGCATGGACGGGGCACACAGGCAGCTTGAAGAGATCCCATGGCAAGGGAGCTTGGGAATTAAGACAGAAACCTCACTTTTCTCCCGCCCGACTCCCGGCCCTGCCTGCTTTGGCAGCGTGACTCAGGAAGCCTGAGGGCCAGGAAGCCTGTTGTGCCTTTGCGTTGTGCTCTCATTGCATTGGCCGGCAAGGAAGGGATGATATCTGGAAGGCATAGGAAGGGCCCGGGTCCAGACTCCCAGGCTACCCAGCTCCAGTTTGACCCTGCATTCCCCTTGCTGGGCCAGAGCAGGCTCTTTTCCTAGTCCCACCCTCCACGTGGGCGTCCCCAGGGCTCCGTTGCTTCTCTTTGCTTCACTCACAGTTTGGAGGTGAAGTCATGCCAGGGACTTATCTCAAACCGGACCACATCCCTAAGCCCAGCTTCTCAACCTGCTTGCTAGCTCCTCGCCAGCGTCCCGCATGGACCACAAACTCAAGGAGCCTAAATATCAGCATGTTTTCATGGCCTCATCCTCCCTCCCCCAGGCACTGCAGCCAGAAGGCTGAGCATTCTCTTTAACTCAAGTTCTCCTTTGTGCCCTCTCCCTCCGTCCCACCAATTATCAAGTCATGCCAGCTTTTCCTTCTACACATCCCCTTCCAGCTTCTCCCCCTCTACAGCTATCGTAGAACCATATCCCCCTGTATCCAGGAGCACCCTCTCCAACCTGTCCCTTGTGTGTGTCACCAGCTTGGAACTCGCTGTCTCTGTGTCTGTCTCTCTTTTCTAAACTACTCCAACCAAGTCACTCTCCTGCGGATCCCCCTTTTCCTGCACACCCTCCTCCCCTTTCCTGTGATATTCACTCCTCTGCGTCCCCTCCCAGATCTTCCTGACAATTTTTTATTCAGCATTCCACTTTGGGTTTAGGGATCAACTACCCAGTTCAGGGCACCTTCCCTGACTGCCAGCCTCCTTTTGAGGGTAGACTCCTACTCCAGTCCCCAAGGCCTTTGATCCCGGAACTCACCGCTCCACTCTGCTGACTGGTTGTCCCTCCCAAAAGACTGCGAAGTCTTTGGGTGGCTGCGTCCAATTCTCTGTGTGCCCAATGCCTAGCACCAAGCAGCAGTAAGTAAATAAATGATGTAAGCTCATTTCCCACCAGGCAGCCCTTTTCACTGTGACTGGGTTCTAGCAATGCTTCCTCTTACTGAGCTGGGTCTGCTGTCCTTGTCCTTTCCTTTAATTCATAAAGGTCCTGGCTCTGCCCTTGGAGCCTTATAGAGGCTCCAAGTCTACTTGCAGAGCCTTGAAGACAACTGTCATAGCCTCTCTGGGACTTCTATGGCAGTCGTTCTCAATTCCAAAGGTCATAATTAGTTTTGAGAAGAATCACTAATAAATTCAATCCATAAGTAAAATAACAAAATTGGAAGCCGGGTACCATGGTGCACACCTGAAACCCCATCTATTCAGGAGGCTGAGACAGAAAAATACTAAGTGTGAGGTCAGCCACAGCAATTTAGATCCTGCCTCAAAATAAAATATAGAAATGATGTAGCACAGGGTGGAGTGCCCCTTGGGCTTGACCCTCAGTCCTGAACACACAAAAAAGTAACCAAGTTGGAGAAGAGTTTGATTTTTCATGTAACATTGTGTGACTTCAAGGTTAATTCCAATCCATTTTATGTGTGGCCACTGGGTTTGAGACTCTCTCTCTCTCTCTCTCTCTTTCTCTCTCTTTCATTTCGTTTGATGCTTCTGAAATCCTCTCTGGCCAAGTCACTCTCCTGCTGAAACACTGTACCAATCCCCTTGCTGACTTCAACGTGAGATCCACGCTCCTACTTTTCCCTCTGCAATGACCTCACTCTCCTTTACCTGCTTTCCTGTGTGCAAGAGAGGGGCAAAGCCTCAGCCAGAGAGAATGAGTGACGCTGAGCGGATCAGAAGCTCAGGTGACTGTGAATCATCCTGGTGCTTTTCTTCATTCTACAAGCTCAGCGTTTTTGTTGGTGTTTTGTTTTGTTTTTTGGTCAAAGTCAAGGCACTACTGTGGGAGAAGTCATATGTGAGACTCATGCCTTAAATGATGGTTCCAGGGAGAAGAGGTAAGGGCTATCTTTGAGACAGATGCAGGTTTTTTTCTTGTTTGTTTGTTTGTGGGACTGAGGATTGAACCCAGGGTGCTCTATGACTGAACTACATCACATCCCCAGCCCTTTTAATTTTTATTTTGGGACAGAGTCTTGCGAAGTTGCTGAGGCTGGGCTCAAACTTGTGATCCTCCTGTCTCAGCCTCCCAACTAGCCGGGATTATAGGTGTGTACCACTGTGTCCAGCATTGCGGTTCTTTTAATCAACTCTTTGTATGACACGATTTTATATACAGATGATTGTTGGGAATTTTTACATATCTTATCTCATTATTCCTATTGAAAGCCACAGCAAACCCCTCCCTTTTTTTAGAGAAGAGAAACTGACGTGCAGAGAGGGTAAGTGACTTGCCTGTCAGTCACACAACTAGCAGGTAGGAGAACCTGGATTCAGACCTTCCAATGGCAAGGCTGTGCGTATCTTTCTGTCCTCCGACTGCTCTCTCTCCTAGCATCCTTTCCCTTGATGGCTCCCAGTGGTCAGTGAGGCCCTGAACAGTGGTGATGTCATGTACTGCCCTCTGAGTCTTGTCCTGTGTCTCCAATCAAGCTGTCGACTCTCCCCACTGACCCCACTTAGATCCCCTTCTGGCCACAACATACTATTGGCATCTACCTCTCAGGGTCTTTGAGGGGATGAAATGAAATCATGATGAAGGCTCTCAGAACAGCACTGACACATTCAATTAATGTAGTTGTTGTATTTCACAACCTTAATTATCTTCGACACATGCATTTTTCTTTCCCTTTCAATTATCCAATTAATTGCCAGGTTCATTCCCTCTCCTCTCTCCAGTCCCCTGAAGCTGCTTAATCCTTCTTCAAGCCTGTTCTTCTGCCTTAATTACCAGGACTGCCTCCTACGAGCTCTCTATCCTTCCAATATAACTCCCCCAGCATTGTGTTGCTTCCTTTTTGTAATGTTCATCACAGCTGTGGGGTGACGCAATGAGCATCTGTATTCACCCACAAAATTAAGCTGTGTGAGGGAGGGAGACATATCTGATTCACAGTTATACCTCCAGCTGCTTACACTGTACCTAGCCTATGTGGTCAGTGCTAGGTAAATATTAGTTTTTAAATATTATTTTAAAGAAAACAAAGATCACACACACAAAATCTTTTTCTAGAAAAATGTGCTGACTTCTGTTCTAGATTTTCTTAAGAATAGACCACAAAACTCCCAAGACTTGATGAAAGTAATCAGAGATAAAGTTCAGTCAGTGATAAAAATCCTTATAAAAGCCGGGCGTGGTGGCACACATCTGTAATCCCAGTACTTGGGAGGCTGAGGAAGGAGGATTACTGTGAGTTCGAGGCTAGCCTGGGCTACAAAGTGAGCTCCAGGCCAGCCTGAACTGCATAGCGAGACCCTGTCTCCAAAGGACCAAAAAAAAAAAAAAAGAAAAGAAAAAGAAAAAAGAAAATCTAGGTCATCCCTGTTCACTATCCTCTGGTTCTCCATAATATTTAGGATAAACTTCCGATGCTCCTCTGTCTCCCTTTTGTTGTTAGGAAAACCAAGGCACCTAGGAAAGGAGAGAGGGCATAGAGTGGAAAAGGATAGGGGCTGGGAGCAGGCTGAGGCACCAAGGTGTCGGCATTTCCAGCCTGTGCTCCTCCCAGCCTGATGTCGGGATAAGGCTATGCAAGCAGCAAGAGGAGCAAGGTTCGCTCATCTTGCTTGCCCTGCTCTGTGCAGCTTGGCTGGAAGAGTCGAGAGTGGTGGGTCTGCCCTCGCGTACCCCGCGGGCCTGGCTCCTGACCCAACTTACGCCTTCTTGATCTCAGCATCCTCTGAATTGCGATTGATCTGGAGCACAGCATAATAATCCTGACCCATGGCTGGCTGGCAGTGAGTTGTTAGTCCTTAAACTCCAGCAAGGCTGTTGGTCTGCATTCCTTGGTTGCTCCTGACAACTGCACAAGGGCACTCTGGGAGTTGTAGTCCTTCCTTCCTAAGCAAACAGCCTTCTGGACCCTAGACTAGAAACTAAAGCACGGGAAAATTGTGGCTGGTTTTGTGACCCTGATGAAGGTCCTTCAGCTCAGAAACTCAGAGTCACAGAGCCCTGTTTTATTTTATTTTTAGTTTTAGAGAGGAATAGATTACTTTTAAAGTTTTCAGAACAAGTGCAGCATTTAGTTGACTTTTTTTAAACTAAGGTTTTATTTTCAGAAAAATTATGAAGATAGTAGACACAGTTCCCATATATCCCATATCCCATACCATTTCCTCCATTAACATATTAGTGGGGTAATTTGTCACAAATAACTAACGTTGATACATTATTATTATTAACAACAAAGAAATACATATAATAAAAATATATATATATATATTTTTAGTACTGAGGATTGAAACTAGGTTCTTTGCACTGAGATATATCTCTAGCCCTTTAATTTTTTCTTTTTTTTTTTTTGAGACAGGGTCTTGCTATATAGTTCAGACTAGCTTTGCACTCACTATGTGGTCCAGGCTGGGCTCAAACTCACAGCAACCCTTCTGCCTCAGCCTCCCGAGTGCTGGGATTACAGGCATGTGCCACACCTGGCTGTGAAGTACAATTTCCATTAGAGTGTATCAAAGGTACACACTACCTACAGCTTCTCACTGATGATGTGAATGAACCTTGATCAGCTGGCTGAGGTAGTATATGTCGGATTTCTCCACTGTACAGTTGCCGCCCTCCCCCTTTTCATACATTGTTTGGAAGGAAATCACTGAAAGGTGCAGAGCTAGGCTCCACCTCCCTGAGAGCAACAGAGCAGGGTTTCCCACACATATCCCGCATCCAGTCAGTCACCAAGCTCAGTTCCTGCCACTTCCCAGATCCCTCCACGTCCTCCCCTGCTCTTCTCATAGCCAGGGCCTTGCTCCTTGCTCCGGTTTCACCTTTCTGCAAGGCCACTACAACCTTCTCGCTGCCTTATCTCTACCTTGCCAACATCATACTCTGTCCAGAGTGCAGCCCAGACTGCTTCCCCGCACACAGGCCCCTGCGATCGGTGTGTCCCTCTCCGCCCATCCATCTCTCACCACCGTGCACTTGTTGTGAGTTACAAAGCGCCACAGCACTTCCCACCGCCCAAACTGCCGGTTCTCTCATTCACCTGCGCTGCCGCTGCTACTCAGCATGGGCCCACTGCGCACTGCAAACCCGGCCTGCGTTCGGCTGACTCTTACTTACTTTTTCTTCCTATGAAATACACAGTTTATACGCACAAGTGAGCAGAATGGGTACATTTCTTGCTGAATAAATATTGCCCCTGTGTGGCCCTCCATGCTTTTATTATTCCCTGGCCTTTCTTTATAATTTTACAAGCTCTGCACGTACCCAGCGGCATGCTGGTAAATGTTTCACAACCGGCTGCAACCAGCTCACCAGAAGGAAATAAAAGCCTATTATGAAGCATTTGCCAATTTTTTTCCTAAATGAGTACAAGTCAGTTCAAACACATTGCTGCAAGGATTTCCAATGACATATTTACCTTTTTATATTTTGAATTTTACTTAAATGATATCACTTCTACAAACAGGTATCTGTGGGTGATCTATTTTTCACGGAAGGTACATTACTCTCTACTTATGGACATTTGGGTGTCACGCCAACTTTGCAAGGGAACGCCAAACAGTTTCCTGGTGTGGTTGTTCTAACTTACGCTGGCCACCGCAGCATAAGCGATTGCTGCAATTCCATATGGAGGTGGCGGTGGAGTGGTCCTTCGCTCCTCGTTCTCACCAACTCTTGGAAGTTCTGAAATGCTTGTGACTATAATAGGTATAAATAGAGTCTCGTTTTGGATTTCAGTTTGCATTTTTTGGCCATTTTTCCCTGTGAAATGCCGACTTTTTGTCCAATTTTTTGTTGGCCTTTTTTTGTTTTTATTATTGATCTGTGGCTCTTTACCTTTGCTAAAAACAAATTCTTTGTTGATAATATGGAATACATACCCTTTCAGCTTGGATCTTGTTTTTTCACTTTTTTTTGAGAGTAGGAAGAATTTATCACGAGAGAGCAAGCTTCTGTCTAAGAGGGACAGAAGAGGGCCTGAAAAGTGGGTTGCCCACCAACCCTGCTTCTCAGGAGTGTTTTATTGAGCAAATCCACTAGAGGAAGTGGGTTTAAAGTGGTCTTTTTACTTTTAAAAAATGAAGTCAAATTTTCTGATCTTTTTGTGTGTGGTTATACTTTTGGTGTCCAGTTATTTCCCTCTGTGAGGTTATATAACTTCACTTATTTCACATTTGAAATCTTTTTGTTGTTTTTGAGACAGGGTCTTGCTGTGTAGTTCAGGGTGGCCTTGAACTCACTACATAGCCCAGGCTGTCCTCAAACTGGTGGGAATCCTCCTGCCTCAGTCTCCCAAGTGCTGGGATTACAGGTTTGTACCACCATGCCTGGCAACCCTTGAAATCTTTATGCCACCCAGAACCTATCTTTTTGTGTACAGTGCAAGGGGGGGGGGTTGGTTATTCTTTTATTTTTCTTAAGAGATGAGGTCTTGCTATGTTGACCAGTACTGAATTCCTGGACTCATATAATCTTCCTGCCTCCACCTCTGGAGTAAATGCGCCTACAGGCATAGGTCGAGGGAACTGGCTTTTTTTTTTCATGTAGATATCCCCCTAGCCAGACCATTTAATAGTCTGTGTCCCTGGGCCACCCAACACTGTAGCCCTCACCTTTTTCTTCTCCTCCTCTGCCTTTCACTCCTCCTCCCCTCAAATGGGAAATGTTCTTAAGAAAGGAGCTAGTAGCCCTTAACAGGGAAAGAGAGATGCTGCATTTTAAATCTCTAGCTGGAGAAGGTCAGGCTTGGTCCTTGATGGCATCTCAGATACTAGTGTCTGACATACTTAAGAGCTTTCTTGGATCTGACACCACACTATGACAGAGGAGGGCTTGCTCTGGGGGAGCTCTCCCATATTATTCAAGGCAAGAGGCCTATTTTAGGTGTATTTGGAGTAAGTGAAATACACTTTTGGAATTAGGCCAAAGGACAGAGAAATCAATTAATAAGAAAGTACAGAGGACCCTTGACTTAGGAACTCAACTCACTCCCGAGGGCTGGTTATAAATCAGATCTCAGTGGAAGGCTCAAAGTCTCTCTCCTACACACAGGCAGATCTCAGTGTCCTTAGAGAGACACTGGCCCAGAATTTCTCGATTAACCCCACACAGGAAAGGATGTTGTAATGTTCCTTCCAGAACTCTTTAAGGGTTAAATCTGTATCCGAGACCATCTGGAAGCACAAGCTGCTAGCATAACTCAAGGCTTTGGTCACAAGTTAAAACTAAAATCCTGGTCATGACCCAAGTTGTTCGTATGTCAGGCCGGTTGGAATTCGAGGGTTCACTATGTAGGTTTTTGGTGGACTGAATGGCTAAAATGGGTCCAAGCCTTGGTGCTGCTAAGCTCCCCTGGCCATTGTGACTGTAAGCAGATTTATTCAAGGCCTCCACAGCGAGGTTTCTTCACATAAGTGGGATTATGAAGATCAGCTGCACCACAGGGTTAGTGAGAAAGCGTAAGAAAACATGTAATATATACAAGATGCTCCCTACCCGGGAGGCAGCAGTCAGAGACCAGGCTCCAGAGTCTATGAGCTACTAGTTTTGTGACCTTAAACCATGATTTCTTAGCCACAGTTGCCTACTGGTAAAAATGAAAGTACAAAATGGGGCGAGGAGGAGGGGTTGAAGGGAGGGTAGGGGAACGGAAAAAAAAAAAGAAGTAAGTTATGTCATGTACAGGTACAAATTCTCTGTGATACATGCGATCATTATATATACCTAAAATGTACCAATAAAATCTGATTGAAAAAAATGAAAATACAGAATGACACACTCTCCTCCAGTACTGGGGATTGAATCCAGAGCCTTGTGCATGCTAGGCCCCCTACCACTGAGCTACATCCCCAGACCTTTTTGTTTCTTGAGCAGGGTCTCACTAAATTGCCTAGAACAGCTTTGCAGTTCTCCCTTCTTGGCCTCCCAAGTAGCTGACATTACAAGAATGCTTGAAATGATACTTTTTTACTTTTTGCATTTCCAAGCTCTCTTGTGGATTTTAATTTGCATTTATTTAATTACTGATGAGATTGAGCATCTTTTCATGTTTACTGTGCATTTGTTTTATTCTTATTACTGGAAAAAAAAAGTGTTATTAAAAATCAAGACCCAGCTGGGCATGGTGGCACATGCCTGTAATCCCAGCACTCAGAAAGCTGAGGTAGGAGGATCACTGTGAGTTCAAGGCCAGCCTGGGCTACAAAGTGAGTTCAAGGTCAGCCTGAACTGCATAGTGAGACCCTGTCTCAAAAAGAAAAAAAAAATCAAGATGCAGAGGGCTGGGGGAAGGCCTTGCTCAGCCTGAGCCTGCCCGAGGTGAACGGGAGTGGGACAGGCCATCTGAGTGGCAACCATGTGTGCAGAGTGGGGTCAGGGGACACAGCCCATGTGCATGGCAAACCGGGTAATTGTAGAGGCACTGAACAGATACATGACTATATGGAGGGTTATGAGAGTCCAGGTTCTCACTGTTAAAGAAAGGCGGGATATATAAAGAAGGCTAAAATTACTCCTGACAATTTGGGCTGGCATTGGACATATCAGTGTACACTCGAGATTGTTACTATTTATTTTTACTGACTACTCAACTCACCCCAAATCTGTATGCATGTTGAGATGTATACATAGAAGTGTGTATGTGCACTGGCCCTAATAAGGCCTACACATATACTCCATACTTCGTAAAGAGCATACTGCTGAGCATGGTGGTGCATGTTTGTAATTTCAGCACTCAGGAGGCTGAGGCAGGAGGATCACTGGAAGTTTGAAGACAGCCTGGGCTACACAATGAGTTCAAAGCCAGCCTAAACTACACAGCAAGACCCCCCATC